GCAGAGGAGTGGGCTTTGCTGGACCTGGCTCAGAGGAAGCTCTACAGAGACGTGATGCTGGAGACCTTCAGGAACCTGGCCTCCGTGGGTGAGGACGGCTTCCTCCCTGCACTTTAGGGAACAAATATTTCTTACAATGTTCTTTCTTACTGGAACCAAGGAATAGGAATATGTTGCAAAACAGGCAGACGTGGTCCCCACCTTTATAGAACCTACCTAGAGTCAAATAGCTTTTCCATGACCGTAAATATTTCTATATTGAATTGATTTTTATTGCTCTTGATCAGAATCCTGAGGCTCCCTAATTGTATAAATGTGAGCGTGGTCTCCAGTGTTACTTTGGGGCAGTGAGAGCAGCGTTACGGTTTTCACCCTGTGAAAGTTACACTGTGATCAGTACACATTTGACATGATAATCTTGCTGTAGTTAAACTCACACTCACCCATCCTCAGTGACGTGAGGACCAGAGAATCGGCCCATCTCATGGAGGGCTTGTTGTCCTCCATCCTCCCCCTGAGAAGCTTTTCTCCACGAGCAGGACAGCAGCCACGCACCGTCTGATCTCCTAGTGGCAGCTGGGTCACTGGAGATAGGCTTCCTCTAGGGCCTCTGTGCCTGCGATCACCAGGAGGGCACACCTCTCGGGAGGAGCAAGTTCTGTATCAGGGAGAGATATTTGGACATAACTGTTAGAAACATGACTCTGTCTTTGAGAAGGTGACGTTTGTCACTCAGAAGGTGACCTGGCTTCCCTGTTGGACTTTTCATCCATCTTTGCCCACTTCAGAAGTCTTTCTGTAGCTCCTCTTATGAAGGGAGCATTTAGGAGTGTGCATTTTGCCCACTTCCTGCCTACTTTGCTTCTGTGAAGTATCTCTTCTGAAGTATTTCTTAGCGAACAGTCTGCCATTTTGACTCATTTTCCCTATGATGGCTAAAGTTCCAAATAGCTGAGGTCCTCAGAGTTTTTCTTTGTGTGTGTGTTAAGTTTGGTTTGGACCCAATTCCAATGTGTGTGTGGGTGTTAATTTTGTTTTGGACCCAATTCTAATGTGTGTTTGTGTGTGTGTGTGCACGCGTGCACATGTGTTAAGGCACCTCACACCAACAAACAATTATTGGACCAGCAGCACATCATAGAATTCAACTCAATCCTGACACCATCTACCCAGTGATAGCCACAGATTCCACAGCTTAAGGTTTCAGTCCTTCAAGACTTACTCCATATTCTCCCACTTCAGATGCCAATCTCAAATCCAGGCTTTTACCTGTCCTCCTGACCAACTGGCTATAAATCAAGACGTTCCCATGACTCTCTCCTTGGGTTCAACTAATTTACTAGTATAGCTCACAGAACTCAGAGAAACATACTAATTACTAGATCACAGGTTCTTTTTAAAAGGATATAATTCAGGAACAGCCAGATATAAGAGATGCATAGGGTAAGATTTTGAAAAGGAGTTTCTGTGCCTCTCCAGGTGCCAGTCTCCCCACATCTCCACGTGTTCATCAACCCAGAAGCTCTTTGAACTTTTTTTTCATGCCTTCATTATATAGGCATGGTTGATGAAATCATTGGCCATTGGCAGTGGATTTGATCTCTAGCCCCTCCCCCATCCCCAGAGGTGTTGGGGTGTCTGGGGGTGTGGATGGGATTGAAAGTTTCAACCCTTTAATCACATGGTGTCTCCATTGGCAACGAGCCCCCATACTTCTTTCTAACAATTTTTTTCATTAACATAAACCCAATTGGGATGGAAAGGGTTTTTATGAATAACAAGACACCTATTTCACCTTTCTGATCCTGAAGCGTTTTCTGGAAATGAGCACAAGAGACCACATATTATTCCATTGCTTTTACTGCTCAGGAAATTCCAAGGGTTTTAGGATCCCCAAGCAGGAAACTGTGGATAAGGACCCAATTTATCTGAGAAATATATGTTGTTCATCTGAATGACCAAATATATATATATTTCTGATAAATCACAATATCACACATCTTCTTCCTTCCTTTATAAAATTATTTTACATTTTTGAATTAGTCTGTGGAAAGAAATCTACATGTGGTCTCTTTTTTTTCCTTTATCCCACCATTTCTTTCCCATGGATTTAATTATGTTACCAATTATTGCAGGTTCTTGCTCTCAAGTTAAAACCAGTAGATCAAGTGCTCATTGGGATATTTTGGAGACTGGACTATGCAGTGAAGAGAAAGTAGTAAGATTCACAAGAAATGATTCCAGGTCTTTTTTGGGAGAAAACTGGGCATTTCATAACATGCAAGATCAACATCTAACTCAGGAGAGGCGTTTGAGGTGAGTGGCACTCCCACAAGGGGAAGGGGAATCTCAGCAGAGTATTAGACTCACTTAAAATTAAAGAAAAAGTGTAAACTTAGCTAAACAATTGTCTATTCACAGAATTCTTACAAAACTACTTTTATAAATGTGATGTAGATATGGAGCTCCTAAAACTTAATTCAGTAGGAAACACTGGTCAGGAAACCTCGTATGTAAAAAACACTGAAAGTTATGGCTCTGCTTGAGCCCTCAGCTGGAGCATTAAACTTGTTGCACTTTGTCACAATGCACAGAGTGCTGAAAACATGCCCATTCATTGAAAATGGCAAATGTGTAGTCAAAATAATAATGAATAACCATCAACAAATCACTAATTAAGAAATCACTTATAATCATTAATTCCTAATACTGTGCTTCCTATTTTGAACAGAAATCATTTGGTGGAGAGTATCTGTGAAGGGAAAGAAGGCCATCAATGTCTAGAAACCCGGAACCAGATTATAGATTTTACTGTGCATAAGAGTTATTGGACTGGAATTCAGCCCCATCAATGCATTAAATGTGGAAAAGCCTTCAGGGATCATTCTTTCCAGAAGAATCAGCAAAGATCTCACCCTGGACACAAACATTATCCATATGAAGAATGGGGGCAAGCCTGCAGCTGTATCTCGTGCCTAAGCCCTCCCAGGGAAATAGACATTGTAGAGAAACCCGATAAACATCAGGATGCTGGGAGAGCATCTAAGAGGTGCGTGAAGAGTGACTGTAATGAACAGTCTTTAGAGTGTAAGAAGTCTGGAAAAGCTCTCACTTGTCCCTCATCTTTTCAGGAACATGAGAGAGGTCATTATGGACAGAAAATCCACATGTGTGAAGTATGTGGAAAATCCTTCAGTTATTATTGCCAACTTGCACGGCATGTGAGAACTCACACTGGAGAGAAACCCTATGAATGTAAAGAATGTGGGAAAGCTTTCACTCGCATCTCACACTTCCGAGAACATGTGAGAATGCACACTGGAGAGAAACCCTATGAATGTAAGCAGTGTGGCAAAGCTTTCAGTTGGTGCACTTACCTTCGAGAACACATGAGAACACACAGTGGAGAAAAACCCTATGAATGTAAGCAGTGTGGCAAAGCCTTCCCCTATCTCAAATCCCTGCAAGGACATGTGAGGATCCACACTGGAGAGAAACCTTATGTGTGTAAGGAATGTGGGAAATCCTACAGTTGTCCCAAATACTTTAGAAAACATGTGAAAACACACAGTGGAGTAAAACCCTATGAATGTACAGAATGTGGGAAAGCATTCATTACTTCCTCATCCCTTCGAGAACATATGAAAACACACAGTGAAGAGAAGCCATATCAGTGTCAGCAGTGTGGGAAAGCCTTCAGGTATCCCAGATCCCTGCAAGGACACATGCTAACCCACAGTGAAGGGAAGCCATATAAATGTCAGCAGTGTGAAAAAGCCTATAGGTGTCTCATATCCCTGCAAAGACACATGAAGACACACACTGGCGAAAAATTCTGAATAGAAAAACTATGGGAAAGCCTTCATTCTCCCTTAAAATTTTATAAATGGAGCAGTCACAGGAGAGAAACATTATGAACGGAAAGAATGTTGGGAAACCTTCAGCACTTCACTTATTTTATACTTGAAAACTCAGGGTAGACAAAATTTTTTAATGGAAAGAAATATGATTTTTCCTTTTAAGTGCCTCATCCTGAATAGGGATCCCAGTGTATTAATTTCTAGCTCATGTTAACTGATCTGAACACTTAAGATAATAACCATGCCTCTATGTTCCCATCATCTTTGCTACTTATGTTTTGTTATCTTGGACTTTAAATAGTTATATAGTCATATAATACTTGTCTCAATTCCATTACAATGTCTTTTGAACCTAGAGTGAAAGTCTTTTTGGTTTGTGGTTTTTTTCATGTGCAACATGGTATGAGTTTAGACGGAAAAAAATTTTTTTAATGAATTTATTTATTTTTGGCTGTGTTGGGCCTTCGTTGCTGCGCTCAGGCTTTCTCTAGTTGCGGTGAGTGGGGGCTACTGTTCGTTGCAGTGTGTGGGCTTCTCGTTGCAGTGGCTTCTCATCACACAGCATGGGCTCTAGGCACACGGGCTTCCATAGCTGTGGCTTGTGAGCTCTAGAGTGCAGTCTCAGTAGTTGTGGCGCACAGGCTTAGTTGCTCCACGGCATGTGGGATCTTCCCTGACCAGGGCTCGAACCTGTGTCCCCTGCACTGGCAAGAGAATTCTTAAGCACTACACCACCAGGGAAGCCCCTAGATGAAAATATTTTTGATTCTTACTTTGTCTTATGTTCCTAATATGTGATCATGATGTGAGACCTGTGTTGTTGAAATGTCTTTTCTGGTTCCTGAACGATACTGGAATTTTCTGACTCAGTATTTATGCTCCCCTTAGTTTATATTACTAAAAGGTGTGTCTTCCATGTTTGTTGCTAGTGGATACCATATTTGTGTTCCTCACAGAAATTAGTAATTGTGGAAGGTCTTGGAAGACCTTCTGTCTCATCTGATTATGTTTATTAATTTGGCCTCTCTTCATTGTCCATGATCTTGGGTGGAAATTGCACACGAAACATTGAGTTAAGAAGAGCGACTTGTTGGTGTGAAGTTGAAAGCTACTATCCAGGTGGTTCTACTGAATTTTGTTGTCAGCTTGGGCAAGGTGGGAAGCTATGTATCCCAGAGTCCTTTTGTTAGTGGTTCTGAGTTAAAGTGTAGGGAAGAAAAAGATGCGTGAGGTCCAGGGCTTCCCTAGTGGTGCAGTGGTTAAGAATCCACCTGCCAATGCAGGGAACACAGGTTCAAGCCCTGGTCCAGGAAGATCCCACATGCTGCAGAGCAACTAAGCCCGTGCACCACAACTACTGGGCCTGCGCTCTAGAGCCCGTGAGCCACAGCTACTGAAGCCCACACACCTACAGCCCGTGCTCTGCAACAAGAGAAGCCACCGTAATGAGAAGCCCCCCCACCACAACGAAGAGTAGCCCCCGCTCGCTGCAACTAGAGAAAGCCTGCGTGCAGCAACGAAGACCCAATGCAAACAAAAATAATTAATTAAAAAAAAAAATGGTGTGTGAGGTCCAGAAAGCAGAAGTGAGGAATCCATGATTCTCGGATCTTCTGTACCATTAGGAGATGGAGATGCATGGCAACCTGGTAGGCCTGAGCTCCAGCACCATTTTCTGACTTCTGGCTCTGCCCATGTGGAACAGCCCCCAACCAGACACATGTTTGGCATTTGGGGATAATGAGAAACACAGGTATGGTACGAGGGAAACCCTTTTGAGTTCACTGTCTTTCTCATTGTCTCTGAGGACCATGGGTAAGTTCCTCTTGGTTCAGATCTCCAGTCTCTTCACATTGAGCTTCCCACTCTACTTGGCTTGTCAGTTTGTAATTTTCAGGTGTTTGGAAAATCCCAACCTTTTTTCTGTCCCAAGATCCACATGGGAACTGTTAGTGGCAGCTTGCAGTTCCCCAACCATGTGGAGCCCTGAGTCCACAGTCCCCATTTGTTGAGGTCTGCTGGGTCAGCACTTCCCCTAGTCCAAGTTTCCACAGAAATTGCTGGTGGTGCACACGGGGCCTCTTCTTGGGAAGTCTGCAGTAATTTCTAAGCCCCAGCCCTTGGTTCTGTTCCCAGTTTCCTTACTGGGATCTGCTGGTGGTTTAGTGTATAGTTCCCTATGTATTAGAATTTTCCCCCACAGTCCACATTGGGAACTGCTGATGGCAAGTGCAGTTCTCCATTTGTTAGGAATGAGTCCACAGTGCCCATCTGTGAGGTCTGCTGGTTTAATCCTTTCCCTGTCTCTAGTTCTTTGGTTGCTACTGGTGTCCACAGCTCCATTTCCTTGGTTACCATTGGATGCTGTTAATGTGCACATGAGGTAAAGGCTATTTGCTACATGGGAATTTCAGAAGCCATAGCCACAAAAGTTGGGCAAGGGATGCAAAGTTCAATGCTGTTAAAGCACTTGCCACCTAACTCAGACACCCATGTTAGGTTAAGTTGGTTACGAAATGGGTTAGATTGACACTGGGTCACCCTCAAACCTCAAGAAGATTAATTTTCATGTAGTGAGGTACAGCGTAATACATCACACATCTTCCAACCCAGCATCATGTCCCTTTTAGTTATCAGATTGTCTCGAGAGACCCAAAACTTAGCTAAAAATACAAAACCAGTAATACAATGGGATCCTTAAAATCTAAAGAGTCAAGTGTATCCCCTTCTGGCACACTTGCTTTTTTTTAATATCTAAGAACGGTGGTCCCAGGAGCTGTAGATATTTGTAGTAATGGCAAAATCTTGCTAAGCTTGTTTTGTTTCCTGAGAACTTGGCTTGGTAACTGTCATGTTGGGGGCCCCAAAACATGGCCAGACTGAAATGTGGGTTGCACCTAACCTAACAGACTAGGGTCCTACATAACTGCTGTCAGCCCCCAGGGGAATTGCAATGCCCATTAGAAGAACCTCTCTAATTGGATAAGATCATTTCAGAGGTGCACTCAGGAGTTCCCAAATGAAACAAACAGAATGGGATACTTACTTTAATTGGCACCCAGAAGCTCCCAAAAGGCATCAGAATTCCAAAAATACCTTCATTAAAAGCTTCCTTGCAAAAAGCTAATGAAAAATTAATGATATAAAAGGCAACATAAATCCAACAAATTAACAGCCTCATATACACCCTCATACCTACCTTGAAAGGAGGATCCCTCCCAGAGTTGATGAGACTCAGAGATTTTCTGGTAAACTGCTGCATTATTCTCTTTAACAGCCTAGGGGAAACTAAAATTAAAATTAATTTAAAACCCTAGCCAAATTCTAGTAAAAATCAGAGCTATGCTCTCCACTTTCTACCCCACTCAGAACCTGCAGATGTGATCCTGGAAAAACTGGCAAAATCAGCTAAGGGTGAAAATTCTTATCATAGCACTCCCAAATCTCTGTCTGTACTGCTCAGTCAAGAGAGGGAAATAACATTTCACAGCTGTTCCTTTCCAAAATCCATACCAAATGGTTATTGGTCCTTTCTCTCCCAGGGATAGATTTGGTTCCTTGCATATCTTGTTTTATGTCATAGGAACTTGGCTGGGGAACTTCCCTTGGTGGCGCAGTGGTTAAGAATCCGCCTGCCAATGAAGGAGACACGGTTCGAGCCCTGGTACGGGAAGACCCCACATGCCGCAGAGCAACTAAACCCGTGCGCCATAACTGCTGAGCCTGCGCTCTAGAGCCCATGAGCCACAGCTACTGAGTCCACATGCCACAGCTACTGAAGCACACGTGCTTAGGGCCCATGCTCCACAACAAGAGAAACCACCATAATGAGAAACCCACGCACTGCAACGAAGAGTGGCCCCTGCTCACCACAACTAGAGAAAGCCCACGCACAGCAATGAAAACCCAATGCAGCCAAAAATAAATAAATAAATAGGAAAAAGAAAAAACTTGGCTGAGCTTTCTGCTTTCCTGGGACATACCAGTTGATGGCGCTTTCTTTGGCTCTTTTGTGAGTGACTCTAGATATCGTGAAGATAATATATTTTGTACCTCTTTGGGGACACTTCTTGAATCCAAGACGTTGTTCATATTGCCAAAAATATTCACTGCTCCTGGCTGAAACCTGACACGACATTTGAAAGGACTTAATAACTTTAAACCAAAAATTTGGCCAGATTAGAAGCTAATATGCAGAGCCTGAAAGAAAAAAATTTCGTTAGGCCTTTTACCTTAAGTTAAATGTACCCATAGGGAAGGAAGAACATTCCAGCAAAGGTGGAGAGGTGGAGCAACGCATGATATCATTTACACTACAACCCAATTCTTTGAGGAACTGAGAGCAACTGTACTTATCTTAACAAAAAAAACAGCTGTAGAGGCAATCCAATATCTATTTCTTTTTACCAATCCTAAAACCTTCCCTATTTATCTCAAAAAGCTTTTAAGTTATTGGTCTTAGGAAGCCAGAGTCCTTCTTAGAGGAATTTATATCATTTCCCTGTGCCTTTGAGATAAAAAATGTTAACTCCTAATCTAGGCCGTATGTTTAAAGTACAAACTTCAGGGATGTATTTGTAATGAGAAGTAAAAGGAAAGGGGAAAAGTTATTTTCAACTTAGAAAAACAAGAAACCCTTAAAGTGTCTTCTAAGGTCTCTGTTTGGATCTGTGTGTTTGTGTATGTCTATGAATGTACATTAAAGATACGGTGTTTTTTTTACCTCTGGATGGTATTGACAAAATTAATTTATATTCTAAAAGGAGCTCTATTTAATTGCCTTAAAGAAAATAAGCACTTATATAAATTAAATTCCCAGAACTGTAGTGGAAACTAACCAAAATGCTTTTCAGGTTCACGTCATCTGGGAGAATATTCACTAGTAAAGCTAATTTACATTTGTTGGTTTAATTAAAATAGGCATGTCTTTAGAGTTATCAGCATTAAATATAAAAATTTTACTTAGAGGGGAGATATGGGAACATATGTATATGTATAACTGATTCACTTTGTTATAAAGCAGAAACTAACACACCATTGTAAAGCAATTATACTCCAATAAAGATGTAAAAAAAAAATTTTAGACGCAAGAGGGAGGGGATATATGTATACATAAGCTGATTGACTTTGTTAAACAGCAGCAACTAACACAACAACGTAATGCAATTATACTTCAATAAAGATGTTAAAAAATTTTTTTACTTAAGTTTACCTAAAGTCAAATAACTTCAGTTTATCTCTTACAAAATTTGTCAGGAAAAAAAATAACGATTTAATTAAATTTTCAAAACGAATCGAAACATAATAGTTGAAAACAAACAAATAGATTGAAAGATAAAAAGGTTTTAGGTGAATTT